CAGGACAGGGCCGCTGAGATCCAGGCAGGGCAGGGCCACTGAGATCCAGGAGGGGCAGGGCTGCTGAGATCCAGGCGGAGCATGACCCCTGACACCAGGTGGGACAAGGCTGTGCTCCCTCCAGAAGCTCCAGGGAGGGTCCTTCCTGCCTCTTCCAGCTTCTGGGGCTCCAAGGATCCCTGGGCTCCTAGCTGTCTCCCTCCCATTCCATGTTCTGGAAGTGAGGATATGGACATTTCTCTTGGGTAGCCCCCATTTGACCCATTACACGTGTTTACCTGCCATAATTCCTTCCTGAGTAGGTAGGACATTTAGCGATTCTCACATGCACACATGCACACACACACACACACACACACAGCCATATGACCCCACCGCAGACAAGCATTTATATCACATTTCAGTCCCGTTGTACCTAAGCAGCAGAATTTCTGGGTCAAAGGCCAAGTCTATGTTTAACCCTTGAGAAACCAGCAGACCAAGTACAAACTGCACGGCGTCCCCTGTGTGTGACACGACTCCCAGGGGCTCCCTATCCCCATTACGACTAGGCCCTACCAGTCGGCACAGCTCACACACCAGCATGCTATCTCGGCCCGTGGGCTCCAGCCAAGAGCCTTGGTTCTGCCCAGACACAGGGAGCTCATTCCTGCCTCAGGACCCGCCCCCTGGATGCATTCTGTGCCTGGGACCCTTCCCCACGTTTTCGGGGCTAATTCCCAGTGTTTTGTGTCTCCAGACTGCGCAGCTGAGAGGAGCCAGCGAGACCCTCTGGAACAGTCCTTCACAGCATCAGAGACACCCCCTTTGCGTCGCCACCCCTCCCCAAGAACAGCAAGCCCGTTTCTGCCCTCACGCTGTGTGCAGTAACCAGTCCTTAATCAAGATTATTCACGTCTGGAAACAGAAAGACCTACAGTCACTGTCTTTTCCGGGTGGGTGGGGGGTGGAAGAGGAGATCGTGACTGGAGATTTTTGTTCTCTTTATCCTGGGCCCATATTTTTCAAGTTCTCTCCAATCAGTCTGTATGTCTTTTATAACCCTCAAAGAAAGAAAGAAAGAAAGAAAGAAAGAAAGAAAGAAAGAAAAAGAAAGAGGAAAAAGAAAAAGAAATGATCCAAATCACTCACTTTGGCTATCTGAAATACAGCCCCATGTCGTTAAGAAAAATGCTCGGGGTCAAATGTAGGTCTTCATCAGGAAAAAAAACCAGCATTTAGCACAGCAAGCACCGACCGGCTGCCTTTATGCTGACGGACACAGAAGACAGTATCACATCCCAGATCCTAAGAGTTTCTGCCTCATTTTTCAGGGGCAAGTGTATGCCCTAGCAAGAGTCCTGCCTCTGCGGCTTTCATTAGACTAAAGAATTATCCAGAAAACAATCTTTTCTTCCTTAAAGACAAATTTGTGAGCTGTCTTCCAATGCCGTACATTGCTGAGGACAGTGAGATTGCCTTGTGCCCTTTTCTTTCCCAAAGTTATTTATAGCCTATGCTTTTCCGAAACAATTTTCACGCAGATTAATTTTTAGCCCGTGCGGGTATCACTATGGGAAATTTGGGAGACGGAGAGAACATTTTTTAAATCACTTACTACCTCTCTCGACCACGCTAACGGAAATGATTCTCACTTTGAGGATTACCTCCTGGTTTCTCAGAGGCTATTTTGACAGACCACACATCCTGCTTTGCTACGTAACCATCCCCTTTGCCTCTGTAACAAGCACATATCCTGCGGTCTCTGTGCTTGCTTGTAGCCATTGTCATTGTGTGCAACCCTGCAGACTGTCCAGAGTAAACCTATCAAAACTCACTGAACACATTCCATTCTTGATCGTCTCGACTGCTTTCAATTTTTTCACCATTACGGGTCTTACAGTGCTGGAGAGCAGGGCTCGCTGTGGGGGGCTATTTTTGCAAGAGTTTTACGGAGGGAGGATTTGGAACCGCATCTTGTGAAGGTCCCTGAGCTATCTGAGCGCTGCAACAATTCGCTTCTGAAGACATCTAAGGCAGCGTGCAAAAGCCATGCAATCTGTTCATTACATTAAAATAAAGACCGGCAGCCTGCAGGGTGGAGGGGACCTAGCCACCCCCCGTTAGGTGCCTTCCCTGTATCTCTTCCACCAACACAGGTGACCCCACCAACCTCAAGGAGGGCGATTCTGCTCAAGCTCCGCAATGATGTTTTCCTGGCTCCATGCAATGGAATCAAATAAAAGATTCCCCCTCCCCCATTACTTAAAGGCTGTACCTCATGACCCCCAGGAATCCCAGAGATGAGACAGCTCATCTTCTAAGGGGGCCAGACAGGGTGCTGACGGTGAGTGACTGAGGGCTTGTTGTAGGTATGTAGGTTCTGTGGCCACAGTGAACACGGGTACTGTGTGAGCCTCCGGGGGTGGTCACAACAAATGACTCCACACTGGGAATTTACAACCGCAGGAAGCCATCTTCTTCCAGCTCTGGAGGGCAGAGTCTGGGACCCAGGTGGGACAGGGCTGCTGAGACCCAGGCAGGGCAGGACCCTTGAGGTCCAGGAGGCGCAGGGCCGCTGAGATCCAGACAGGGCAGGGCTGCTGAGATCCAGGCAGGGCAGGGCCACTGGGATCCAGGCAGGGCAGGGCCACTG